AGCTGCTCTCGTTTCAGCTGGTCTGTGAAGCCACAACTGTTTTAAAGTTAGAGTATAAGGTTAGCTCAAGGTTAATAAGGACCCGTGGCTTCAATCCATGGCTATCAACCTGCATGCTTGTTAGGCCACCTGAGAGCATTTAAAATGCAATAGCTGTGGTAAGACAGTTAAATAGGCCTGGCTCTGGTGTGTTTGAAAAGGCTGCACAGTCAGGATGAGCGCATGAATAGTTTCCTCAGAACTGGAGGCCTGGGTGGAAATCATGACACAGAGTGCATTATCTCACAAGCTGAGCACCCCTTAAACTCATAAATCCAAAGCACTTTGATATCCAAACTTCCTGAACAGAGACATTAAGACGTGGGCATGAGTTCTGGGTGGTGGTGGTGCACACCTTTAATCCCAGCACTCGGGCGACAGAGGCAGGAGGATCTCTGTGAGTTCAAGGCCAGCCTGGTCTACAAGGACAGCCTCCAAAGCCACAGAGGAACCCTGTCTTGAAAAACAACAACAACAACAACAAAAGACATGAGCATAAAATCCCTCTCCAGACCTCACGGCATGGACTGTAGCTGAAACATAGGTGCACTTGGCAGTGGTGTGTAAAATCACAACCACGCTACATACATAGGACACACAAATGAATTCATGCACAGACCTGAGTCCCATCCATTATGTGTACAAATATTCTCCAACCCCAAATAGTCTGGTATCCCAGGGGGTGAGGAATCCTTACCTTGTGATAATGTCAGGTCAGGTTTGAATATAGATCCCTGCAAACTCTCACACAGGTGGTACATGAAAGGAGAGCTTGCTCAGCACTTAAGATCAAGCTCTTCCAGAAGACCAGAGTTCTGTCCCTGCAGGTCACAGGGGCTCCAAAGTCCTCTTCTGGTCTCCACAGACACCTGCACTCATGTGGCATCTATACTCATGTGCCTATACTGGCACAGGCACACATAATAAAAATAAGTCTAAAAAAGGATGGTGAATGAATAAACAAGTAAAGGCTAAAAGTTACTTTGAAGCCAGTTCCTAACCAAGATACAGGGAGAGCTGGGTTCTTTGATCATGAACCTCAGGTTTTTGGATCCTTGTGTGACTGAGAAAATACTGGCAGGAATCATGAACAAGTATATATAGTGAATACAGGAAGACTCGTATGCCGATAGATAGGTAGATAGATAGATAGATAGACAGACAGACAGATAGACAGACAGGTAGATAGGGGAGTAGATAGATAGATAGATGGATGGATGGATGGATGGATGGATGGATGGATGGATGGATGGATGGATTTTGAGACACAATCTCACTCTGTAGACCAGATTGCCTGGAACTCACAGAGATCCTTCCGCTTCTGCTTCTCAAGTGCTGGAATTAAAAGCATGCACTACCATGACCTGCCCTGCCCTGAGGTTTTAATTGAGCACTGCACAGGGTAAACTCTGGAGTTTTTACTTACAATCCTATCTGGTTGGTTAAGGGCGCTCACTACTGAAGCTGTCCCTGCTGGTGGGCTGGGAAAGAGTGAGGCCCCAGAGGAAACCCTGCCAGGTCCAGAGGGGAGCATGGGCTCCTGTCTCAGTGGGAAGATCCTACTGAAGAACTCCATGGGAAGGAGTGAAACCAGGTGACCTGGGAGGGTCTCTGAGGACCCTAGGGGTCTACTGGGCCCTGGGAAGAGTGGCCACTAGCTTTTCTCCTTTGGTGTCACAGGTCAGGGTTGCATTCCTGATGACAGGAAAAATGCCAGGTACCTTGGTTTTTGTATAACATCTCTGGATTGGTAGGCATTTCTTTTCTTTTTAATTAAATTTATGTGTATGTGTGTGTGCGTGTGCGTGTACGCGTGTGCCCATATGTGCACAAGCCCAGGTATATGTGTGTATAGGTGTGGTAGTTGACCTTTAATTATCAACTTAATACAATCTAAAGTAACCTGGGAGGAGAGTTTCAAACTCTGGCCCAGGCCCACGGTTAATGTTGCCAGCAAATTGGTGCAGGTGCCCCAGGGTGCCTTTTGGTAAGGGTTAGTGGCTTCACTGTGTGCAGAGGTGAAGTATGAGGCTATATGCACCTTGTAGAGTCTGCTGCAGCTACAGGACAGTTGCAGCCCAGTGCTGTTTGGAAGTGATCAGGTGGGCTAGGCCTGGCCTAGGGTAGCTGTAGCTTGAGGCCTTGGAGAAGACTGACATTGTGGTATGCCCATATGGAGACAACCATGTTTGGAAATTTTCTGAAACTTACTGTCAGCTGAGGGACTGGAGAGTAAGAAAGGAGCCTGGGGTACCCCTTAACCCTTCCGGTACAGTCTCTGCACATGGTGTAGTATTTTAATTAGACAGTGAGTGTTCTCCTGAGCCCCGTAGAGAATGCAAAGTGGTGGTCATGTTAGATAAGAGGGCTCTCCGGAGCACCTAGACTCAGGAAGACTGCCTGGGTACCTGTGCTCATACCCACTGTGTCCCTGTGAGTGACACTGCTGTGTGCCAATATGCCATGGGGCCAGAAGGAGACCTGACTTTGCACATGGTGGACCTGGCATACACAGTGGGCAGAAGGTGCACCTGCTGGAGCCTGATGCTGCCTCCCCCCATGCAGACAGGTAGTAGTACATCATTGGAGTGTGGAGAATATGTTTTCATTCATAGATAGACATGAAGCAGTTCTGTTGGTTTGGATTCCCACATGCTGGCATCCCTGCAGCCACCAGTTTGAATAATTGATAGTGGATTTACCTTGTATTATGAAGAGCCTTATTAACTATCTGTGCTCACCCCTCCCTCCTTTCTCTCCTTACTTTCCTGCTTTCTTCCATTTAGTCACTCATGTATCTACATACTCACTTACCCCAGCCATTCATTTATTCATCCATGTACACAACAATCCACCTACCTACTCACCCACTACCTACCATTTATCATCTATCCTCACATACTCCCATCCTCCCATCCTCCCATCATCCATCCACCCATCCATCCATGCATCCATCCTCACATCTGCCCATCTAGCTGTCCATCCAGTCACTCACCCATTAACTCAAGCCTCTCACCCATATTTACCTCTCATCTATGCACACATTGACTCAGGCATCTATTCATGTCTCATCCATCCATCTCCTGATCCACCTACCTACCCGCATATCCCTCCATCTGTCATCCATTGATCACCCTCCTTCTTTCTTTCTCCCTCTCCTTCTATAGGAAGGGAAACCCTTTACTACTATTCTTGGTTCTCTGCTTTGTGGCTCTATGAATTCAGTGACAAAAGACAGATCCATAGAAGAAAAGGCTGTGAACACAGCAGCCCACACTTCCCTGTTCTGGGCTAAGCTTCTGTGAGGAGTGATTCAAAGGCTTGTTTGGAGCTCTGGCTTGGGATAGCATCTCTGCAAAAGCAAAATGACGATGAGAGAAGGGACTTGATCTCAGGTGACAGTCTCTGGGATGGCCAGCACAGGGAGAGGAATGCTGGCTGGAGGCCACTTGGAGCAGCCTGTAATGTGGGTTCCCCTGGGCTATCTGTCCTCTAGGTGATGAGTATAAAAGTTGTTTCTAGACCTTTGTCCTCTCTGGGGAAAGAAAACTATAACACACAGCACAGACACTCGTGTTTCCAATTTTACTAGAGCTTGACACTTATCCTCTTGGGCTGGGTCCTTCCAGCAAGCACATAGCCCTGTGGGGCTGGGCATTCCTAACTCTTTCTTCCTGAGAGGAGCCTTCTGAGGTCCCAGACTTATCTGTCTGTAGAACTGCCCCATGTTTTTCTAACCACAGGCATAAGAGGTTTCATAAATCTTCCAACAAGTTTCTTCCCCTCTGCTCAGAGTCATGTTTGGAGCCACCCATGCAAAGCTCAGATTTCATTTGTTCGCAGCTGTATAGCCCCTGGACAGAGGGTACCACCGCTTGATGAGGCAGTGCCTGAGTGATGAGGATGACCATGCAACCCCACTGGCCCAGAGCACCCCAGTTCACATGGCCTTCACTTTCTTGATAGAATTTCCATACAGGTAGAATTGCTGGTGTGGTATGGTACGTTCCCTGCCAGCTCCTCAGGACCCCACAATTTAAACATTTATCCCAGACAACGTGCCAGAGTTACTGCTGTAGTCACCAAATACAGGTTGACTTTTCCTGGGTTTTGTTGGTACTTTGCTTTTATTTCCTGATCTTATAGTCCAGGCTGACCACTCATTATTCTGGGGTTGGTTTGAACTCATAACCCTCTCGTCTGTACCTCGTAAATGCTAGCATTACAGGTGTATGCTACCGCCCCTGGCCATGTTGGTCTTCCTGGTGCTTCACTTAAGGTCCTGCTCTGAGGTAGCTGTTTACAGCCTATCTGGGTTTTTGCACTGGAGCTGTCTTTGCATTGGCTCTAAGGAAGGGGCTCCCACAGCTTCTGCCTCTGGGGACCCCCAACTCTCCTGGCTTCAGCCTGCTCAAGACTTAGGTCTCTATTCTGCTCTCAGACCTGTCGATGATCTTTCTGAGACTATACTCGTCTTTTTGTGCTATTTTTACTCTATGTTGCTAGCCACTCTGTGTTTGAAGTAGGGGGTTATTACAGCATAGCTTGCTGCCTTCTGACCCGGTGCCTGCGTTTCTTCCCCTCCTGCTGCCATTCTGGCCTCAAAGAAAAGCCAGAGGTAGCTGTTCCTCCTATGTGGACTGCTTCAAGCTACCACTGCGGCTATCCGGGTGAATTCCCATAGTTGTGGCCACTGCTGCAGCTAGCTGGGACTCCTTCAGAGCAGCTTTAGCACAGTGTGGGGGACTTCCCTGGTTCTGGCCCTGACTGATGCCTCTGCCCAGCTCAAGGGAGGAGGAGGGAGGTGCCCAGTTCTTTTCACCTTTAGGAATTTGACATACAAGCATATAGATGCCATGGATTGGTGGTCATGTTGGCAGACTCGGGAACTAGTCTTCAGGGGCCGCTAGGTTGTCTTTGATACTCATATTTATTTATTCTCCTTTCTCTTTCCTTCACAGAGGTCCAGCCACCATGCCACGCAGTCCCACATCCAGCGAGGACGAGATGGCCCAGAGTTTCTCTGACTATTCCATGAGTTCGGAGTCAGACAGTTCCAAAGAAGAGACCATCTATGACACAATCCGGGCCACCACAGAGAAGCCAAGTGTTGTGAAGATGGAGGAAATCCAGGGCAACACCCTGGTGATTCGGGTGCTCATCCAGGATCTGCAGCAGACGGTGAGCCCTCGTGTATGGCAGAATAAGCTTCTACGCTTTGCTTGGATGTCTGTATCTAGCCAACATCAACTGTGGCTTGAAAGGTGTCTGTAGGGGGCTCTGGTCCACTCTAGGCCTGCAAGGTGATGTTCCAGACCCATACTCTAATGTTTCTCACCCCTAGCGCCCCTCCTTCCTTCCCACTGCAGCCTACAATATTCATTGATCATGCTCCATTCATTCTACATTACTATAATGAAGTCTTGTTGCAGGGAAATCTATAAAGAAAAGAGGTTTTATATGGGCTCTTTGGGTCTTGAGAGCCAAGGTCAAAGGTTATCATCGGTGGTGGTTTTCTTCTTAGCCAAGTCCCTAGTGAGCCAGGATATCATAGACAAAAGGTGAGGGACTTCAGGCATGCCTATGTCTGATGTTTCTCCCTATTCTCCTGTAACGACCAGGATTGGAGATTTGGATTCCCATTCCCCAATTGACTTCTTCTCATTCTAATTGTTCCCCAAAGTCCAACCTCCAAACATCACTATGATTTAGTTCCCATAAAACTTTCCATACTTCAAGATAAAGTTAAATTTGAAGCCCAGAGTCCTAGGGGGATACCCAAGCCATGTCCAGGCTATAGGAAGTACCTTCTGCCAGGTCAAGCCTCTGAGTTTCAGGACTCAGAGCAATTGGCCCATTGGTGTCTTTCCTACTCTTACAGATGAAGTTCAGTGGTGGGCACATCAGCCAGCAGTGTTTATGCCTCCACAGGGAAGGTAACCCACTGCCTCCTTTCACCTGCTTATGGCTCATGTAAATAGTATGGGCTCTCCCACTCCTGGGGCTAAGGAGTCTCGTCTGGGTGTACCTCACTTCCCCATACAGCTCTGGTCACTACCTGCTTGTCCCTTGGCCCTGGGCCCAGCATCATTTCCTGGGATGTCCCTGAAGTCCTCAGGTCTCCGCTTGCCCATGCTGATCACCCTGCTCTGTCCCTCCAGAGGCTTACTCCCTCTGGATGTTGGCTTCTGCTGCTTGAGTTGGGGAGCAGAGGCAAGCTGGATGTGATGGATGGCCATGGATGCTGTGTTTAGATGTAACTCCCCAGGAGGTTCCAGGGCCTGGTGTTTTGTCATTTTTCTTTGCCTTTCTTCTTCCTTGTTCTTCAACTCCTTGGGGCTTTTCTGATGAAACTGGAAGCTCAGAGCAGAGATAAGCTTCAGTCCCCAGGAGGGCAGGGTGTGAATTATTGGTGCTTTGCTGGTCTGGACTATCAGGCTGTGCCTCTGCCTGGGGCATTACACCAGGTCATGCAAGAGCCTTTTGAAAATCTGTGACAAGAGGGAATGCAGTGAATGACAGGCCAGGAGAAGTGGTGAGGAATGTGCTCTGGGATGACAGGATGAAGGAAGTGAAGTGGGATAGTGGGGTGGCAGGGAGGGAGGTGGGCTGTGGTGATGGGATGATGGAGGCAGGAGATTGAGTAATGGAGTAATGGGGTGAATCAGATGTGAGATTGGTTGTTGGGGGATGGGATAGAGGGGTAATGAGATGGGAGGGGGCAGTAGAGTGGGGTGGGAGGGAGGTAGAGAATAAGGTAGGGCAGGTGAGGTGGGATGACATCTCTCTAAGCTGCTATTACCCAGCTCTTGAAGACAGGCTGTGGGGAGGGCTGCGTGGGTGCAGATCACACACACACACACACACACACACACACACACAATTCATTAATGAAACATCTCTGACATTATTCATTTGAATTTAAATGGAGGAAAAGCTAGTGAGGAAACAATGAACATTCATCTTTTTTGTTGTCATTGCTCCAAAGAAAGATGGTGTCCAAAGACATCTAGAGGGAAGCATTATTAAACCCACAAAGAGGGATAGATTTTCTGTTTCCTGTTAGATTCTCCCCCCTCTCACTGTGCTTTTCCTGGGCTGCTTCTAGATGAATGAAGCAGATTGCTAAACTGAGCTTGCCCTCCTTTCTCTCAGGAAGAAGAGATGAGAGGGTCTCATCCACACAGACACTGGGGATTCAGGCTCCTTCACTTGGCAGCCAGGCCTTTCCCAGGGTCTGAGATCCTCCACATCTTCCTGTCTTGAAGGTGAGGGATGGAGAGGGTGAACTATTGAGTGTCTCCCCCTGCCCCTGGCTCCCTTCCTTAGGAGGGTCACTTAATTGCAGACTGGGCCTTGGAGGGTTTAGTGAGCAGTAACTAGCTATTCATACTTCCCTCTCTCCACCCACCACCCCATGCCTCGTCTGTCCTCCCTCTTTTTCTGGTAAGGACTCTGCTTTTAGACATAGCTTATCTTACTTTACATCCAGCCCAGCGTGCACCCCAAGAACCCCAGAGTCTCCCCGGCCCTGTTCCCACCTCAATGCTCTATGAAAGGCTTGAGGTCTTTGCAGAAGCTCTTCCTTTGGCAGGTTCCTATTTTATTTACCCTTGCTTTGGGCAGAGTTCATTGCTGAAGGCAGAGCCTCCTTGTGAATGTGGATATCCTCCCAGGCCTCACCATGTGTGGTCCGTCTGCTCTGTAAAGACACTGTAGTTCATGTTGAGGTTGAGTTATGGATGCTGAGCTCAGGGCCAGTGGCACTGGAACCCCTACCCATGGGGCACTGTGTCTTCCTAAACTCAGCCTTCCTGCAAGCAACAACATCATGTACTTTAGCATCCTGCTGGAAACCTGTTTGTCAACAAATGAATTAATTCTACTTGCTTGCATGGTATGTGTGTGTGTGTGTATACAACCTAGATCCCCCCCCCCCCCCGCCCCAGCTTTGTTCATATGAAAGTGTTTAGGGATTATATATCAGTTCTCTCAAGTTGGCTTATTCCCAGGCAGGAAGCCCACAAACAGTGAGGAGTGACTGCATTTTGAAATGCCACTTCATCCCCTTTGGCTCAGCTGTTCCTTTTTTCTCTTTCTTATAGTTCGGAGCCAAAATTGTTCCTCCTGATTCAGTCACTAGACTCCAACTGTTGTTGTTGTTGTTGCTAAATTTTTGGAAATAGACTCCCACATAACCCAGGCTGGCCTTGGATTCACTAAGTAGCTTAGGATGACCTTGAGCTCCTGTTCCTCCAGCCTCCAAATCCCAAGTGCTGGGATTGTAGGCATGACCACCAAATATGGTTTATGTAGTGCTGTGGTCAGAACCCAAGGATGAGTTGTTCCTTAACTCCTAGAATGTCTTATTTTATTTACTTTTATTTTGAATTGTGTGTGTGTGTGTGTGTGTGTGTGTGTGTGTGTGTGTGTGTGTGTGTGTGTCCCCGTGCATGCATGAGCATGTTCTCGAGGTGCCAGAAGAGGGCATTGGACCTCTGGGAGCTGGGCTGCCTGACATGGGTGTTGGGAACTGAATTCAGGTCCTCTGCAAGAACAGTACAATCCCGCCAGCCCTGAAAGTGGTTGTTGGTCCTTCCTGGAAGTGTGGGTTTGTTTGTCCTTCCTTGCAAGGCAGTTTCCTGATGCTGTGTGTCATAGCCTGTGTTGTCCGCCTGATTCCTGTCTATGTCAAGGAAACCAGTTAGCTACACTCAGGGACTTTCTTTTCCATGTCTGCATCTCAGTGTCTCTCTGTTGAAATTTCTGGTGTCTTTGTGTCATGTGTCATATATTTGGCTGGACCGGTCTGTCCCCAGGATTCTCTGATCTGGAGTTGCTCTGACTGGCTGACTCTCGTCTGCTTTCATCGCTCCACACCGTTTCTGACAAGTATTCTCCAGAGCTGTTGTTTGGCACATGTTCTGATGTCTGGTTATTTCCCTCCTGAGTATAATGTTTCTTAAGACAGCCATTCCCCTATGGGGTGAGTTTCCACTTAGCAGAAGGTGGCTGGCTCTCTCCACATTGTTCTCTCTCTGCCTTCCTTGTTGGCTAGGCCAACCCTCCCCACCCCACTCCAGCCAGGTGACCACAGCTCTGTCCTGTGGATCCAAGAGCACATGAATGAACCCCAACTCTCTTTTGAAGTTAGATGTATCAGTCTGTCTGTCTTTATACATAAAAGATATGGGGGTGGGTTGGGAATCTTTCTAGAGGGCTGAGGGCAGGTATCTTCCCTTTCCTTTTTCTCTAAAGATTATTTGTTTTTGTTTGTTTGTTTTGGTTTTTTTTTTTTTTTTTTTTTTTTTTTTTTTGAGACAGGGTTTCTCTGTGGCTTTGGAGGCTGTCCTGGAACTAACTCTGTAGACCAGACTGGCCTTGAACTCACAGAGATCCACCTGCCTCTGCTTCCCGAGTGCTGGGATTAAAGGCATGTACCACCGACGCCTGGTTAAAGAGTATTTTAAATGCTTTTCCTTGGGAAGTTCCCCGACCAGAGACTAAGTCTCTTTCTAACTGATGGATCCCCCTCCACCCCATCATTCAGCGAAGAGCCCTGCCTAAAGGGTCTCCCAACAGCTGGCTCCATAACCCTATCTCCCACCTAAGGAAGGAAAAAAGCCTCAGTGAGCGGGAAGAGGCACTTCTACCACGGCTTTCTGCTTTTCTGCAGCTCATAGGATAGATCCTCTAGTGCCCCAGCCCTCCTCTGCACACTTTCTAGGCTGGCATCTGACCTCCTAGGTTCCAGAGACTGTCTCTCAGTGTTGGCTTCCAAGGTAGAGAGCCCCTGACATGCCATCCATTTGAACCATTCTTCCATTATAGTGTTTTAACTGTTTAATCTTTATTTCCCAGAATTGTTGTGATATAGGTGTGCGTGCTGGAAATGTAAGCTCTCCAGGGTGGCAAACCTAGAACCTGAAGATCAAAGCTGGGAGGGCAGAGGAGGTGGTGAGGGTTGGGCTGCCAGAGGCAGGTACAGACCATAGTACACCCCTTCCATGCTGGGGTCTGTCCCCAAGACAGTATGCCCACTCCACCCAGGCAGGATACAGTGTTGCCCTGAGCTAATCCTGACACAACTTATCCTTTTGGTATGTTCCATGCAAGAGGAAATCCCAGTGTGCCATAGTTACACCAAAAGGTATTGCATGACTGGCTGAATGTTGGCCTCA